ACCTTTCAAATGACATATGACACATGACTATCCGAGCTGTATGATATTTTTTACATATTAGAGTACATGGCACAAAAAAAAAAATTTTTGTAAATTATGATTTTTTTTGGTCATTTATCAGCAAATAACTCGGCACTACTTTGGAGTTACTTAGGAGCTTTCAAATAATATCAATTTTTTGTTGATCAAGGCAGTTGTTTGAAAAATATGATTAGTAATATTGTTGCGAAGGGGGGGCATCCCGCCCGCGGCACACTTCATTTTAGAGGGACTGCTTAGCGCTCGTTAAGAGTTGATCGAAATAATTACATTTATTAAAAAGTTGAGATTCTAAGCTTTAAATTTTTGCTTTAAGCTTTACCTATTTTGTGTTATTCCTTTCAGGGACACGTATTTAACGCGTTAAATACGTGTTGTTTACGCGTGAAATACACGTGTTTAACGCGTTGTTGACACGTTAAAATTCACGTGTTTTTGGCCCTTTTGGCCTTCCATACACTGAGAGCACGATTATCCGGGAGTGACGCACTGCCAAGATGGCGACGGCCCGCTCCGCCCACTTTGAGCTTCAAAAACGCTCTTCAGAAAACTACAGGTGACGTCACGGACACTACGTCCTAGTTTTTATACAGTCTATGGTCTAGACTAGAGCGTATGAGCAAGCCAGTGTTGCCAAGTCCGCGGTTTTCCCATGCAAATTTTACCAGGGGAACCCCGCCAAAAAACGTGTATTTTATCCCCCAGAAGGCAATTTTTATTGGGGGACCCCTTTGAAAAGCGATTGGGCTAGTTTTGGGTAGCAATTGGGCGGGTTTTGTTGTGAAAACCTGGCAACCCTGGAGCAAGCATCAGTGTTTTGCCCGCTCAATCGCGGGTTACGGTGCGTTTCCACTACAGCGTCAAATCTGCGCTCAGTGCCGTTGGCAACGCTACAACGCCACTGCTTTGGGGCGTGTCAAATTTATGGCAGAGCACACCTCTGAAAAACACCCTGTTTACATTTCATCTTCTTTTCACAGCGATTGGTTGTCGCCCGTTTTTCTGACTTTTTTGCATAAAGTCGAGGAATGCCCAATCTTTTTGACGCTCTCAGCTGTCAACGCTTTTTCCGCGCCGCTTTCAATCCCATAATACACTGCGCAAGCATTTAAGCTCAACTTCCATAGGAATGAATTGAAAACACTCATTCCGCTGCGCTCGCTAGTCGCTACGTGCCAGTAGAAACGCACCGTTAAGCCCTGTTCACACTGCCAGCGACACACAGCGACATGTTTTTGTAAGAAAAATATCCATATTCAAAACGTAATAATCACTTTAATGTAGCTTGCCCTCACTGTTGTACACTGGAAGCAGTTCCGGGCTGATGATGTATGAGGTCTGTATCGGTTTTTCAGTAAGCCGTTGCCGCTGATAATATGAGTAAGCAAGTTCTAGAACGCGTACAAACAGAGTCCGTGCAAACGGAAATAGATGCAAAACTAATGTCTTTCTTTATTTGTGCTCCAATAACAATTGTTCCAAAACAACTTGCTATGAGTGTTCCTTGTTCATTAACATGTACAATCCAAGTCCATACCTTGAAGACACAGCATAAGATCATAGTTCATCTTGCACGCTACTCTGCCGTGCGGTCAAAAACTGTAGTGCGTTTGATTTATACATTGATGGTTCGAGTTGTTAATTATATGATGCAGTGAGCAGTTTAGCACCGGTTAATGGTTTAATGCAGGAGCACTGCTGTAGTTTATATAACAACTCTCTCCAACAGCAGAATGGTACTTTTATTTCTTTTAAGTCTAATTCCTAGTCATATTAGAAGGATATCTTAGTTTTACCGGCAATATATATAGTTTGTGATTGCATTTTCTAAAGATATGTCAAGACGTGCAGTCTACCAATAACATTAGAGCGACAGCAGTAGGAACGCCCACAAGCGTCTTCACAGCACAGAGTCTAGCGACATACAGCGAAAAAGTCGCTGGCAGTGTGAGCAGGGCTTGAATGGGGCTTTAGGCCTGCCCTACACCGTCTACGGCCGCTAGCGGCGCGACGCACAAAATAATTACCTATTTTGTAACATGTCTACACTGGATGCGGCGCGGCGCGACAGACAAATCCCCGACACTCGTTCTATTTATGACGTACTGAGACAAAGATTTTCAAGGGTCGCTTTGTCGCGTCCAGTGTTGTCATTACCGTTTGTTACTACAGCCTGCAGTTTGCTAGCTAGCTATGCCTTCCTCACGTTGATTCATATTACCTGTTCCTGTTGTATGGCTGTTGAAAATCCAATTAAGCTGAAGAGGAATCATCCATTCTGGTTGTATCGGTGTGTGTGACAGTTGGAGAGAGAGGCGGCAGCTTTCCCGCGAGTGGGCGTGGTTTCAGCGCAGACTGCGGACACGCACTTATTTTGTCAGGATTTTGACAACTTATTTTATTTACTTGGCGGTTTTTTATCATTCAAATTTGGGTGGTTTAATAACACATTTTTCTGTGGAGTGACAAACTCAGAACACATATTTAATATTGCTTTACACGGACTTTAAAACATCGCCAAGAAATGTAAGGACTGGATCAAAACATAAGTGGAGCGGAGTGTCTCCTCTCAACGCGTTATGTAATAACTCCATCACTTGAACTCCAGATTTTCTATTTGCCGCTCCCAGCAGACAATGAGAAAACCGTCTATTAAAGGGTTAGTTCACCCAAAAATTAAAATTAGCCTGTGTTTTACTCACCCTTGAAGCATCCTAGATGTATGCGACTTTCTTCTTTCAGACGAATCCAATCGGAGTTATATTTTAAAAAGGCTTGGAGGGGCCAGGACCATTTTTAATATAATATACTCCGATTGGATTCGTCTGAAAGAAGAAAGTCACATACACATAGGATGCTTCGAGGGTGAGTAAAACACTAATTTTCATTTTAGGGTGAACTAACCCTTTAACGAAAATACTGGACCAAACACGTTCTGTATTAATTGGACAAGAGACTGATGATTTTTTAATTTATTTTTTTACCATTTTTGTGTTCAGGTTTTTTGGGCGGGCCTGAATTGCTTTTCTTATTTTTTATTAAAGTATTGAGATAACTTTGTGTTCAGGTATTTCATAGAATAGGACATGGAGACTGCAGTCATGTGATGTTTTATGATCTTTCACCGATTGATGGCGCCACAGCGTTTCAAATGTGGCACAAGCAGTGAGAAGGGTGTTCCTGCACAACCGGAGGCTGCAGTTTCAGGACCGCAGTTGTAGGACCCTATTCTTTTGTAACAGCGCCACCTACCGAACAACTAACTCTCATTAGACTATTGGTAGGCTTAGTTAAGGTTAGGGTTGGTAGAATAAGTTGATGTACTTGCAAAGTTGCTTATAGTGAGTAGAATATCTGTTGGGGAACCATCAAAAAAAGTGTTAGCAGATATTTAGCATACAGTCTACTAATACTCTAATGACTGCTAGTTGACATGTAGTCGCAGAGTTACTTATCAACAGTTGTCTAAAGGCTACCATCAAAATAATCAAATTGATATTACAATAAAAATAGTTCAAAGCAAATGTGTACACATTCATTTGATCTGATATCAGATATTATGGCTGTTTGAGAAAAATTATTATTATTATTATTAATAAGTGGTCTTTGTCTGCTTTAAGTACAGTGAAGTTACTTCACTTAAAGCAGACAAAGAGCACTTAATAATAATAAGACCACATTAAAGCATTTTGGAATGTTTTCATGAAGACAGTATCAAACAAGTTTTCACACTAATACAGTAAGCTACAGGTAAATCTGACACATCTCACATCAACATGCTTTTATCATCTTTTTAAGTTTAATTAATGTGCTGGCTAGATTTACTTATTGTAGTCATTATGTCAACAAGGTTTAGCTTAATTAAATCATGGTCACGAATTAAGAACATAGTAATAATCAATAAAATTAGGAATCGGGAATTCATTATTAATTCTTAGCAGTTCTCACGTTGGCTACGTAAACTTTGCATAATTTTAAGGTTATAAAATAAAACTTAATTGAAAATCGGTAAAGTTACTCACTCTGATTGCTGTCCATGTCGTCCATCTTTAGTGATCCAATTCGGTAGGTGGCGCTGTTACAAAAGAATAGGGTCCTAGAACTGCGGTCCTGAAACTGCAGCCTCCGGTTGTGCAGGAACATACTATTGCAAGCAGTTGGTTTGGGATGCCAGACACAAGTGATATATGAAATATTCAACAAAAGACAAGAATACCTCAGGCATCGTTTGAAAGGGTTTATTTATTTTTCATTGATGAAACATTACAACTACTAAAAAGAAAACAAACATTTGTTTCCTTTTACAAAAAAGCAGGTAGCCCTTTAAAATCTAAAAAAAAAAAAAAGACAGTCCTACCAAGACAATCCATATTCAGCAAGTCTGAATGTTCAGTCTAAAGCCTTTAACATTACTAGCACAGGACATATTCCACAAGAACCTGACATCTGCTACATTGTCTAGTCCTCAGTCCACAAACATAGCACAACACTGTGTGGCATGCAAATGTATGAGCCCCTCTCTGCTGTTTTATAACACAAGCCTGACTTTTTCTCCATCACTTACATTTAAACTACATGCTAAGCTTATTTCGCACTAACATTATACAAAAAGACAAAAACAATGCTCAAGTACTGTTACAAAGATCTGCTTGTACTCACTCATGTAGGTACATCAGTGCAATTTACCCCTGAATGATTTTGGTTTTGCCAATTAAAGCATGCAGCTCCATTAAACAGAAAACATATTCTTTATGATAAAAAAGTCTGAAGGATGACCCAAGTTGCTATCTTATTTATGTTTCCATCTGCTGACAGAAGTTCTTAGCTCTTTTGAGGCATGTAAGATGTGTACAAGTGCATAGATGGCTGTCAGAGTTGCATTTGTGAGGAAGGAGGTTGATTTTTCTCCTTCGCACACTCTGAGAATATTATGTCTTATGACCTTCTGTCATGGGAAAGCATTTGGGGTGGGTGCGCGGCTTCTAGGGCCGTCAATTTTCTCCGTCTAACGAATTTCCACCTGTGTGCCAATGCTCCACAGTTTATTACCTCGGACCAGAGTAGGTGACAGAATAGGTGTAGCAGTGTGACAACTCTAGCTGTGAATCAACACTTCCGCACAGCCAGCCAGCCAATCAATCAGTACATCTACAGGATGTTCTCTATTAGTTAATTTGAAGCTTGGGCCAAACGTCTACCTGTTCTCTACGCTAGCCGAGAAAAAACAGTAGGCCCAGATCAACCCAAATCTCACTGCAGACACTAAAGCACTTTAACTTTAATGTATTCTGCATTCAGAAATACTCCAGAGAGGATGTGGATTGCGCTGTCATCCACTACCATACAGACTGCAGTCCACTGCAGTAAAGGGTGTAAGCCTCCTCTGCATCCTGGTTCAGCAGAAATCTTCAGGTTTAGGGAAGCCCCAGAGGACTTGTTTCCTTTATCATCACTTCTCACAGCTTCTAGAGTGCCAGTGATTGTACATGCTTGCTGAAATCTGCAAAACACCTCACTATCCTGCCAGAGGAAGACATTATTTTTGTGCCTCATTTCTTCAGTGATCTATATTTAGGAGGTAGGATGTTTGCCATTTTACTTGATTTGGCAGGGCATATGGTGAGAAAATTGCAATGCAGTTATATATAGTATGCATGCTGGGATATACCTATCTTGGCAAATGTGCTAAGAAGTTTGCAATGAAATAAGTCAGCATGATTTAATGAAGTCCAAGATAACAGCTAAGGATCTCCAGGTATCTCTTGGCCTTGTTCATACATCCACCATGGAATAAAACGGTGAACTGGAGAGGTGTACTATATGGAAGGACGGCTCATCAGTATGAATGCTGGTGCCTATTTTAAGGACAAATTTTCAGACATTTCTTAAGGCAGTCACACAGCAGAACAGAAGCGCAGTGCCGCATTGCGTCTAGGACAACTCACTGGTAAATACTTAACCTAATCACCAAACAGGCAAGAATTCAGTTCAAGAATGGTGGTCAACAAAGTGGCATCCTTGAGTTTAAAGTTTGGTGCTTGAAAAAATAGAGCAAATGGAAAGAGAAAGGGCATTATATCTCTCTATATGAAGCATACAGACTTTATCAAACTCACAGAAAGACAAACACAATGCACAATACACAATCTTCCAGTATACACAGCCTCAGTCGTAGCTAATTGGCACCACTGGTGTGTGTACACTCATAGAAAAACATATGTTCAAATTTTAAAGACACGGCGTGGCGCTTCTTTTCCAGTGTGCGACCCCCTTATGGACAAAACCATTTTGCTATTCAAAAAGCTGTTCCAACCACATTGTAGGAATATTATTGACACTTTTGCAGGGTCTGTGTAAGGTGGCCCAATGAATTACTACAAATGGAATTGGAGAATGGTAAGGTTTCTGTCTGTGAGCTGCAGCATATGATTAATAAGGTTTATGAAGTGAAATGTTGTGGCAGGATCTGAAGCCTGCAGCTCCTTCAATATTAATGTCCTGAAGCAGTTTTGCAAAAAGGAAACTGGCCAATGAGTAACAGGACAGGGATTATTTTAAAGTCAGTGCTTCTGAGAAAGCACATATAAACTGTTCCTCCACTGTTGTTTTGTTTTGAATTGATACAATATCATAGGGAAAGATCGGTTCATATTTTAGGTCAAATTTGACGAGCACTACAGATAACTCCAACGGGTTAACAAACTTTCACTCATCATTATTTCTAAACGATAAGTACATCCTTCATAATAGCTGTTTCCAAGCAACAGTTAAAAACTGTCACACTTGCACCCACGGCATCTGAATTTAAATCTGAGCAAGAAGGGGAAACAAATTATACTCTGTTTGAGACAGATGCAATATCTTACTCCGACCCTGACAGACTTTGGTAAGATGAAAAAAAAAAATCCTTATCTGCTTCCATTTTTCCTGTTTGTTAGAGTACACTGGAGAAAAGTGAAATCAGTAGTACCTAAGGTAATCCATCAGATGAATGCATCAGTTACAGAGGCCCCTAGGTGGTAATATTCCAGCCATTTTGATTAACAGTTTGTCCCCAAAGCTCCATCCTTGTGGTACAGCAAAGCTGGCGTTCAATACTGACTTAAAACCAGTTAAAATCAGATAATTAAGACTCTGATAAAACAAACTGGTCCTAAATAAGCATAAATTCAAAAAAGCTACATATCTGTCACATGACATTACAGCGGTTCCTCTGCAATGCCCCTTGGAGTCGGATAGAGGTGTGGTTCGGACGCAGTCCTCGTGCCACGGCTATTCCCAGGAGCTCTTTGAAGAGCAGAAGCACATGCCAGTTATACTTAGCAGAGCACTCAACATAGCCGCACTTCCAGGTTTTCTTCACCAGGACAGACACGGCCCTGCGCTGGGTGAACCGATGCCGCTGAAGGTCCCGCTTACTGCCCACCACCAGGATGGGCACCTCACTACTGCTGCCCACTCTTATGGAACGACACAGAAAGAGACGAGAGAGGAAAGGTAGGTGAGATGGCAGAGCAATAAAAAAGAGGTTTAAGAGGGAATTAGCAAGTAAAACAAAGCGACCCCATGAGAATCGATCCATTTCCTAGGTGACATTTATGCTGGACATAATATTTGTTCATGTTTGCACGATAATATCTTCAGCAAACATGCAAAGACACACACACACACAAACATGAAAAGTCCCTCAGCTCCTTGACACGCTCTAAAAAAATGGCACTGAGCTCATAATGTGTGCTGGAGAATGCATGATGTGTGTCCTTTCTCAGCGCTTGACTGTGCTTGAAGGTCACAGACACACACACACACAGACACACACACACAAACACAATGAAGAATGAAAGCATTTCATGTTCAGGGGGCTTCAATGGCAAGTGTGTGTGTGTGTGTGCATCTGAAAAAAGTGCAATAAATTTAATTGCCAATTCACTGTTGCACAAGGAGCTCAAATAAAAATGCAAGGTTTCATTTATTTGCTTAGAAAATGTCAAGTGTAACAGCCTGCTTGAATATGTAGCTATTAAATAAATGTCTGGCCAATTAATATAGTATTGACTATCTTTACATAATAGCTAATTACCAAAGGCTCCATGCATACACAAATTACATATCATAAATATTTAAAACCTTTATTTTAACACGTTAAATTTAATTGAGGACCCAAGGGTATTCCATATTATTCATTTTAATATTAAAAAGCATACTACTGCTCTTATTCTGATTCTACTCATTTCAAATCTGTCAGATATTGAGGATTTATGCTATTATATATGTGTGTTCAGTATAGACAGAGAGAAAGAAAAGAATTTGCAAGTAATTTCAGCATAAAAGAGCTGAATAATCTGTCAAAGACACCAATGTCATTGTGTTTAATAAGCCTACACCAATCCCTCATTCCTGTGTCTGGGTGCTTGTGTCATGTTTTACACTGATTTATCCCCGTTTCATATAGTTTATCTGTGCTCTCTCAGTATGGCTTCCCCCCGTCTCCCCTCTCACTATATCTTAAACCTTTCAAGTCCATGTTTAGTCAAAGAACGTTTGTAAAATTTTCTTCTATACCACAGCTGCTCTGCATGTGTATTCAATATTCTACCACATCAAACATCCCCATGCAATCTCTATATATTTAACTGAATACAGTGATCATTAAAATCTTATAGTCTAAAGGACTGTTTGCACTTAGACTGAGGCGTCCTCAAAGCAGTGAAAACGTGAGCAGCATTTGTAAAACAGAAGTGTGATATTGTGGGCGGGGAAAAGGGCTAAAGGTGGAGACTGCAGATAATTTTCTGTCATTCCTTCTGTTCACATAAGACCTTTATGCAAATACATGATGCTGCATGCAATCTATGGTGCACAAGACCTGCATATGTAAAAGGATTTTCTCAAAGGCACCTATTATATTCTTATCAGCTGTAGTAAATGGTGACAGTGTCTATGCTATGTCACTCATCCATATTCTCAAATGTCACCTCATTATCTCAGCATCAGCTGGGGAAACAAGGGCCAACTGTTATTAAAAACATCAAAACCATTTAGTAGTTTGTCAGTGCAGCTGATACAGTTACATTAATCAGTGCTGATGTGCGTCGTACTGCTACTGAGCTGTTTCATGACCACGGTTTGTCCCATTCTAACAATAATAGAAGGAATGTCAAACATTTGCTTTTGTTTGGATCTATTATAACATGATAATGATTCTCTGTTATTCTTTGAGGTGGGTCATTTCAGGTTCTGAATGAGCTCTGTCGTACCTGTTATCCACAATTTGCTGTCGGATCATCTTGACATACTCAAAGCTCTCCACACAGCAGATGTCATAGACCAGAATGTAGGCGTTTGCGCTGCGGACCCCTCTACACCGCGCATCCAGCCACTCCTGATAGAAACAAACAGACAGACAGACAAAAACAGATGACCACTGATTGATTGCTTGACAAAGCCAATGTACAATTCATTTATGAAAATAACTTCCAATCAAATATAAAAACATTATTACAACATTGCACAATGTTGCATTTTGGTTGTAGTTTAGGTCATGTGGCGGTACGAAAACATTTAAAGGTCAAGAAACCATGATTGTGATCAAACAAGTGCAGCCGACGTGTACTTTACAGATTTAAATGATCAGAAAAAGACCACATTACAACTGTCACGAATCCAGTCTATAAACTTCCGTTCTCTCACGCTACACAGACTGTTACACATCACCCTGGACTACATTTCCCATGCTCCATTGCACTAATCACAAGCTCACCTGAAACCAATCACACAGCTGCTACCAATAACACACACTCTATAAATCAGTCTCACACCACCATTCAACGCGGAGTATTGTTTAGCGTTTATCACTTTGATAGCTATTTTACGGAGCCTGCCCTAGTTTTCATAATCTAGTCAGTCTTGCCTTGCCTGTTTTCCTGGTTCCTGATTCTTGCCACGTATCTTGGATTAACCCTTTGCTTGCTGATTCGGACTGTTTGCTCCTCGCCTGGTCTTATGCTCACGTTTATGGATTACCCCTCTTGTCAAGCCCTCTGGATTACGTTTGCTGTCATCTGACTCCAGCCCGTTTAGGATTGCTCTTTTGTCTTGCCTGTGCCATACCTGTTTGCTGTTGTTCGAGCCTGCCTGTGTTTTTGACTGTTTATTAATAAAAGCTCGCACATGGATCCGCACGCCTCTCGTCTCGTCAGCCCCGTAACAACAACTTTGAGAAAAAATTTATTAGTTGCAAACACTAAAATTTTCAGTTTTCTTTACATAGCCTAAAAATATCAGCATATTTTTGGGGTGATTTAAAAAAAAAAAGTTTAGGTCTTTATATAAAATTATTGATAAATTGTAAAAAATAATAATATAACTACTGATACTGAATTTCTGATAGGAGGCCAGATGTGGCATATCATGTCATACCATGACATTAAATGTTATTGTTTTATTTGATAAATTACATAAATTATTTGAGCAGACCTCTCTGTCTCAGAAAACATTTTGTCATTATGCTTCGGAGTGATTTTTTATTAAATATTGTACAAAAAGAATACTCATTCAAGCTGTTTTGTTCTTCTCTCATTAAATTGCATTATGTACATATTAGGCTTGCCGCGATAGACGGTGCTGACGGAGATACCGGTATTAAGCCGCAACACCGGTAACGTCATTTGCCCACCGCGTCACCGACCCCCACCGTCGTGATACCGGTATTACCGGTGTTGTCACACGTCGATTAACCGGTGGGAAAATTTCCTCACTGTCACAACCCTAGTACATATCAGCCTTCAGCTACTAAAATATCACTGGATTTATTTACCTTATTTATGGAAAATCTTTGAAAGATATTCAGAGTTTGTGTGAGGCATTAAACAAGCAAACTAGATATTGACCATTTCACAATTTGAGTTGAATTACTGAAATAAATGAACTTTTCCACGACATTCTAATTTATTGAGATGCACCTGTAGGCCTACATTCTGCTGTGTTTACTGACTCTGAAATAATCAACACAAACTTTAGCGTTAGGCTATTTTGATAGATTTCTTCAGTCTATTTTTGTAGTATCATCTATTTCAGAAAATTCAGCACAGGAAGATACGTAGATACATACGTATCAAAACAAACAAATGCTTGGATACAGCACTCTGTGAACAGCCAGCTTCTTTGGCAATGAATGTTTGTGGCTTAATGTGGCCTTATGAAGGGTGTCAGTGATTGTCTTCTGGACAACTGTCAGATCAGCAGTCTTCCCCATGATTGTGTAGCCTAGTGAACCAAACTGAGAGACCATTTTGAAGGCTCAGGAAACCTTTGCAGGTGTTTTGAGTTGATTAGCTGATTGGCATGTCACCATATTCTAATTTGTTGAGATAGTGAATTGGTGGGTTTTTGTTAAATGTGAGCCAAAATCATCAAAATTAAAAGAACCAAAGTCTTAAACTACTTCAGTCTGTGTGCACTGAATTTATTTAATACACGAGTTTCACAATTTGAGTTGAATTACTGAAATAAATTAACTTTTCCACGACATTCTAATTTATTGGGATGCACCTGTACATACATGCAATACATACATAAATAAGCAAGCTGTGAATAGATGCTGACGTCACACATTTGTTCATATATCAGCGACTCAAATACTGTTAGCCTTTGAGACCATAGGAAAACTACTAACTAAATCAAGTCCCACCTTAAATTTATTTTTTCTCGAGAAGATGTTTCACTCAGATAATATGGGAAGATGATCACAATTTCCATTTCATGCTGAATTTAAATAGTTTTCAATGACAAACACAGTGTGAAATTAACCTAGGCTTCAAAAAAGCTGCAAGTGAAAAGTCTGGCCTCACAGGACTAACCACAACACATCCCTAATAACTAAACTCTAAAGAATCAGTGATTGAACCAAATAGAGCTTGCATGTGGTGAAATTCCAGTAGATCTTGTTTAATTGCCATATTGATTGTGATCTGCATTTGTGTGTGTTGGGCACAGAAGAAAGATCGAGTGAGAGAAGGAAGTCAAATTGAAGCCATTCGTCACAAGCTGATCTTGCTTATAAAGAAAATCGATGTCAACTGTAGCAAAGACAGTGGTTGCACATTCATCTCGACAGAGGAATAATTACCTTCATCCTCTACTGATGTTAGAAAAGCAGCCTGCTGCTAATATTTCACACTCAGAGATGACTACTGTGATTCTGCACTCGTGCACGCTCACACATTAGTGTATAGGCCTAATAATAATGAAAGCAATCAGGTGTGCAGATAAACACACTGACATATTGTAGATCATTATAGTGTGAAGGACTCTTAAAGGGATAGTTGACTCAAAAATGAAATGGTATCATGATGTCGTTCCAAATCTGTATGATTACCTTACTTCTTTGGAACACAAAAGAAGGTGTCTGGAATCATGGGTTCGAAACGGACTTTTATTATGTAGACAGAAAAACACTAAGGCACATTTTTGTGCAAAATATAGCTTTCTGCATTCCCACCACACTCTCCAACTTTATGACTGATCATCTATAAAACCAAAGAATAGAAGGGGATAGAGTCTGTGTGTTTGGGTTTAAAACAGGAAGTCTTTGTCCTTTTTTCCCCTCTCTCTTTTGCTTTTTTCCTTTTTCAATTTTCTGCACATCAAAAGCAGATGCCTTGCCCTCCGTCTCCACTGGGAAATCTGACGGTTCTCAGACCTTATTAAGCACAAACGCAACATTCTATGAGATTTTACGGAGTTCTAGCTCAGTGATCAGTGGTAGATTGAAGCAATTATCTGCAGTGGTTTTGAGCATTAACTATGGTGCTAGAGCGCAAGACAAATTTATGTCAATTAAACATGAGCCTCGAAGCTTTGGGTCTTTTCTGCTGAGCACTGTTCTCACATAAATGCTCCCTCGGTGTGCCTGTTAGATGTTTCAGATGCGCTGCCATCCCCATCAAAGCTAAAAATAGAAGCTTCTCTCTCTCTCCTTGCCAAGCCTCAGTTCTGTTCTTTCCTGTGAGTGTGAGAGGGGACACGTTCAGATTCACTTTCATCATAATTCAACATTCTCCTCTGGGCAAGGAAGGTATCCACTTAAAGCAAAAACTTGGAAGATGTCCACCAGAAATTGCTGAATGGGTAGCTGTGCTGCTGAAAGCTGCCAAGCGTGTTCACAAATAAATGTGATCTGATCCACGCGTACGTTTGATGTGCTGCTGAATGGACAGCTTGGACAGACACTATTGTTAGGCTAAAATAGGAGCAGGAAGGGAACTCTATTCAGAACCACATAGAGCTCCATCAGTTTGATAATTCATTGATAGTTATTTCTCGAAATGTCTTTCTTTCTTTCTATTATTAGTTTTCTCAAAATTTTTAAAGGATGTTCAATAACAAAAACTTGAATTCTATTAAATATGATTAAAAATATATTTGAAACACTGTTCTAATACAATACCTAACGCATTCATTTTTTTTGTACATAATACTGCTGAATCTTTCTCTCTAAGCCACTTGTTTATTCATGACTGGAGGCAAAACAAAATCATTCTTTCAGCACAACATTCATTCATCTATAAAACAGTCAGGTGGCAGAGGTGCCAAATGTAGATGTGGAAATAATCCAGAAAAGATGCAAATAACCGTGTCTCAGTTAAATCATTACATGCCAGGGAACTAAACTGCTTGTTCATTATCATCATCTTTATTTCTGGCTCAGTCCCTGATAATTGATGGTACACTCTAAAAAATGCTGGGTTAAATACAACCCAGTGCTGGGTAAAATAGGGACAAACCCAGCAATTGGGTTGTTTTGACCCAGCGGTTGGGTTACTACCCAGAAGGTTGGGTTAAACATTTAACCCAACCGCTGGGTCAAAACAGCCCAATTGCTGGGTTTGTCCCTATTTTACCCAGCACTGGGTTGTATTTAACCCAGCATTTTTTAGAGTGTATAATTACTCAATTATATTTCTTAATTTTATGCTAAGGTATACAGCTAGAATTATTGTGTTGGTTTCTTTTTACTTCCCACTGACACTGTGATGTATGACAATGCATCCTAAATTGGAGATTACACTTTTCAGGCGTGAAAAACAAAATAATGAGAACATCTGTCCTCGAGACAGCCCAGTTCTGAACGGCATTTGTTTTAAAGGCAGATGAATTTAATATTGTCTCAAAAGCTTGAGAAGGGTCACTCACAGGAATATTTCATTCCAATTTTATGTAATGTTTTTAGTTTTACATTAAAAGAGAGTTTAAAAAGCTGTTAAAGCTGTGCATGAGTGAGTGAATTTAGAAAATCTGTGTGAATCTCCACTGGTTAGACCATAATCACTTTTGCAGTTTAAACACTTGACAAGAGTGATAGATTGATCCGTTTATTTTGTA